TCAATAATTAAAGTAGGCTCAGCAGCTTCTATGGTGAAGTATACATGTATCCGGACATGTATTCATACATGTACGCATGCATGCATGTTTGCATATAAACAAAAGAAACATGCATACATGTGTGTACAAACAAACTTAAGACTTGTATCAAATATTTTTTAAATTTGCGAAAAGTGCGAAACACGTCTGAAGTTATTTTTCGAGTAGATCTTTGGAAATCAATTTGATTACGAAACGTCACGCACCAAACCTTTGAAAACATCCAGAAATTATTTTGTTTATTGCAAAGTAAACCAAAAGAAGAGTGTGAATACTTTTACTATACTATGCGTGGAGTGCCATTTTTATTTATATCACAACGTGTTAGGGTGTTAATTATAAATGAAAAGAAGTCACACGGTGCTCATTTATCATATCAACCTGATGCTTCACCTGTATCTTCCTTTGATTGGGAAATGTTCCCACATTTGTCGACAGTGGCATAACACATATCATACGTTTTATTTTTCTTCCCAAAAGTCTTCAACACATTTGCGTAACTATGCAAATTTTTGTTATTTTTCATATATATAAATGCTACAAATTAGTCGGGCCCTTCATTTAATTTGTGTATCATATTTACTTTTAAAGGGCAACAACAAAACTAACACACATTTTGGCAATTAAAAATCGATTTACATGTCGAGATGTGTATAGTATTACGAGCATGTTGATTATTTCCCTCTAGCGCCTGAAACAGGTGAAAATGAATAACGTCCAGTGAAAGTTTAAAAGTTCGTGTATAGCTAAACGCACAACATAATATTAATATAATAAACCAATAGGGCAACTCGCCCTGCCACCTCTGCAGACGCCTCTTCAGATGCGTGTCAAATATTTTTTTATTAAACATGTTTGGTTGCCTTTTTTCGGACATTTTTTTTGGCGGCGGCTCATGCCCAAGCTGAAGTTCATTGACCGACCATATGAAAATGAAAGCGACGCGTTTCTGATTTTAAAATTTGTGTGCTTTTTGGGTTAGACATATATGCAAAAGAGTAAGGTTTGCTCGGGCAGAATTGGAAATATGAACAAAATATTAAAATTAAACGTTTAGCTATATGGCGACTGCTTTTTGGTAGCTTAAGACGCTAAACAGCCACGAAACGTGGTTTAAGAGTTTATGAAATAATATTGTATACGAATTAACATTATATACGAAATAACATTATATACAATCGAGCACAAACAAATACGCCCCAAAAGTCATTAGTCTACACTTCACGCTTTTCTTCAATCCCTTTCATAATATTATCCAGAAGAAAATTGCATATGTAAAATATGTTAGAATTACGACAGCGCTCACCATGCGACTTCCTGGTGCCATTAAACACCCGGCGTTGCGCGGTCCCGCAGCTCACTCACAACAAACAACAACATTATCAAGCACTGATCATTTGCTTCGCTGGATAAACAAATATGTTGCCACAAGTTGCATTTAGTGTTTTTTTTTTTTTTTTTGGTCTATTCTTGCCCCAGCACAAAATGCAACACGTGCTGTGCATATATAAAACATTTTCAGTTTTTCAGCTTTTCCCATTTGACTCCTTTTTTCCAGTTGACCAACTTTCTGGACTCACCCCTCGCCGTTTAGAGCCTGTCATTGACCCTACAACGGCTGAGGTCTGGGGAAATTAGTATGGATTATGCATGATCGTTGTTGTTGCCACAATGCAACTTGAAGCATCCCTAATTCATTATAAGCAGTTGGCGTGACGAGTTAGACGCCTTCTCCATTAAATGGAAACATTTTTAGACGATGATTACACAGCCAATGCCACTTGTTGTCTACTTCTGATTTCGTTTGCTCTCTTACTATTATATTATATAATATTTTCTTTATATTAAACAACTGCAAAGTTATATACTGTATAGGTATATATTCGTGATCACAGTGACAATCAAATACCAGTTTATCTGCCATTTGCGAGCTGTCCCATACAAATTGTTCAGTGAGCATAAATAAAATTAAATTTTACACAAATTCTCGATCAAGCGAAATAAGGTAAAAGTCATTAAACTTTTTATTCCAAATTATTATTCAGTGCAATTAAAACGGGCGAACGCGCCGCAGATGCAGTTCATTAACTTTCTATTGAACAGCTGCAAATCGTTTGCCATTTTAATTAAGATTCGCATTTATATATATTTATTGTTTTCCGAAAAAAATGAGTCAGTTTTTAAGCAATTAAATATAAAAACCTAGGATCGCAGCAACTTGGCCAAAAATGTCCACTGACCCATATTCTAGCATTACTTTGCCGTCTACACACTCGGATCTTTATATAGAAAGTAAGTTTATATATTTAGATCGTGCCTTAATTTGCTTTCACTTTTCGACGGCGCAAATATCTTCCGCATTCGTTCCATTTTTCAAAGTCTGTACAAATATTTGTACTTGCTTGACAGCGAAAACTTACAAAATCTCTAATGTGAATCATTTATTTAAAAGACAAAAAAAACACTGAGGATAAAATTGGAACAAGATTCGAAAGATTTCAAGTTTTCCACCTTATCCAATCTATTTAAACAGACACACTTCCACAGTCATAACTTTGGGCCACATTTTAATTTGATTTCATATGCCTGGCATGTAAAATTCTTGGCAATAATGATTTTCCTTAATTTCAGGTGACACATTTTCCGATCTACATTGACTTGCCCCAAATATATGAGTGGGCGGTGGGCAAAGAACTTTTCCACACGAACATTTTCTGCTCTCAATTTTCGTTAATTAAAAGTCTCTGCGGCCACGTAACACTTTCGGAGCGGTTCATTGACTTCCCAATTGATCTTTAAAAGAAATGGAAAATCATTTAGATTTAGTTACGATTTACTTAATTGAAATATTGCTCTCGAGGCCCCATTCTAAAACCCATTATGTATTCCCCAAAATTTCTCTTCACTCTCTCGCGCTCTCTTAAGCAAACACTCTCTGCTCTCTATGTTGATGGAAAGAGCTTCACACGGAAAGCTTTCGGCGCGGCTGATCGCGGCGGTCGTGAACAGTTTTCCTGTCCTATCAGTCGAGTGGACGCGCGTGTTCGTCAAAGAACACTTTCGGATTCCATTTTTATATAGTTTAGAATCGCGCGTAAATTTCTGCTTTCCATTTGAAACATATTTATTTATAAATTTTGCGCAAATGTGGAAACGGTTCTGTGTTGAGCTTCACTTCAAATTTGGCATTTCGATTGGGAATCTGATTTTCTACTTTTTTTTTTTTGTACATTTATTTTGTACAATTTTGCGTACTTATTTTTAGTTACCCTACTCACACTCGCTGCGTGTTTCCATTGTGTTTTCCTAGCTTTTCACGCGTTACACAGTGCGTATGCTTAATTTGTGCCCTGGCAGTCTGCCCGATATTACGCAGCTGTTTGCGACGCCATCAATTTTCAAAATTTCTGCATAAATTCTCTTATACTATTTTACATAAATATACAAAAATATTATTTGTCTTTAAACTGAGTCACGTAGCTGTTCTGACTTTTATGTGGTTTTTAGAATCGTGTTTCGTTATGCTGCAGTCCATAAATCATTTTGTGAATGTAACCAAACAACACGTGTTGAAATAGTTTATGGTTTTACGCGACTTTGCCGCAGATCTCATTTGAAGTGGATCATAAATATGTAAAACATTCGGGATTTCCTTTCGTGCAACTTTAATTTCAGCCTAAAGCCTTTTACTTGATCAAAATTGAATCGTATTCCGCCTTTGTTCCACATCATGTTTACAATTTGCGGCTGTTACACGACTTTTGCATTCTGGATTTCCTTCAGTGCATCCCAATGAAAACTTTAATTTCAGTCTAAAGCCTTTTACTTCATCGAAATTGAATCGTATTCCGCCTATATTGCACATCATGTTTATATATTCCCCTTGTTTATATGCTTTTAATAAGCCCTTGGACCATGTGCCTTATGAATAAGACAACTGTTGCCCCTTTTGCATCGTCTGCTTTATACACATGATATAAGATCGTCAGCAGCGGAAATGATGTCTCATATATATGAGTCCCACGCCCAATTTTAGAGCTTTTTTCTATAAACAAAAATCCCAAATTAAACAAATAATTAAAAACAGCAAAAAGAAATTGAATTTCACACGCAATTTCGTTTATTTTTGTATATGATTCGCATCTGAGAAAGTCATTGGAAACTAAAAAAATAATTGAGTATGAATAGTTTTTTGTTTCTTAACTTGAGATTAGATAAAATAGTTTAATTTTGAATGTTTTAACAACTTGTCGTCACATTTGTTAAACAACAATTATCTTTATCGTGATTGATAACACATTTTGATATCTTTACAACGCTCGCCTTTAGGTTCTGCAAAAGCAATTAGTATTATGCTAAGTATCTGAATTGTATGATAATGAGCTACTTCCGCCCGTTGCGTTGTCTTCGGTTCCACTCAACTCTTTAGATTCTGGCGTGGGAGCTGCATATGCAAATTTCTCCCCGATCGATAAAGAAAAAGTTGCAAAAAAAAGTGCGCCAAATGCATGGCACATCTCAGCTTCAAAAGCTGATTCTCGGGAAAAGTAATCTGTTTTTATCTTAGTGCATATCATATTTATATATAAAGTTTAAAAACAACAAGTATGTCAAGATAGGCAGAGACTCGAGAAGCTCTTGACTGAAAGCAAACGTTGTACGGTTTTTCTGCCAGTGTAAGACATAAAAAAGGCATTTAAATCTACAAGCCAAGACAGAGCTTGGTTTGGTTGGGCGGTTATCTCCAGTTCTTTTAGCCAAGTTAATAAGATTTCATTTTAATCTTATCGTTTGTCTAAACAGGCGAAACATCAACTCTGTAGGCCCATTAAGTGCAAATAAAACGAATGTTTAAATAAAACTTATCTTGATTTAGCCGGCTATTGACTCTAACTAATTTATATTTCTCTTGTTCTCTCCCTCTCTTTCCCTCTCCGTAGACTGTTCAAACAACTTGGCGTCCCCAGTTGCCGCTGCCCAAAGACGACGACACGAAAGCCACAAATCAAGCAACATTTGCCCCAACCACATCCGACAACAACAACCACGAACTGGAGATGGAGCGTCTGCGCCTGAACGGATCCGGATCCTCACAGCAGCAGCTGTCGAATAAACAGAAATGGTCCTTTGGTCGACTCTTTCGCAAAAAGAAGGATGCGGCCGATTGCAGCGCCAGCTCCAGCGAGGAGGACCGCAAGGCCGGTTTTGTGCCCGCCCAGCGCCAAAGCGCAACGAAACCCAAAGCCAAACATCACGCCAAGTCCGCACGGAGCAACAGCAGCAACAAAGCGCTCGGCTTCGATCACATCGTGATGCCATCAACCCAGTCCCAGTCGCAGTCCCAAGTGCATCCCGCCCAGCCACAGCACATAGACAACGAGTTCTTTTTGCCCGTGGAGATGGTACCGCCAGAGCCATACTATCAGAACCAGCCGGGCTACTACAGCCGCTCCAGCAACTCCCTAGATCGCCGGCTCTATCTGTCACAGCAGGCGCCGCCGGGTGGGAATATGCCGCCACCTAAATCCCGTTCCGGTCACCGCGGCAAGGTGCCGGGCCACTCCAGCGAGGAGGAGATCATCTCGCTAAACTCCTCCACCTTCTCCAAGTATCGCAGCGACGAGAGCATACACAGCGGCGGCCAGGCGCTGCAGGGATACGGCGCACCCGGCCAGAGTAGACGCAGTCGCGCCGCCCGCAACGAGCGTTACTATAAAAGATTGTCCCGCGACGGCGAAGTCAGCCATGGCGGTGTGCCTGTTCAGCAGCAGCAGCAGCAGCAGCAGCAGCAACAGGTGATGGTGCCCACGCAGCGTTACAAGACGCAGCCATTGCCCTTGTCCATCTACCAGGCAGCACCCAGCTCCTCCGTTGCCGCCTTCTCCGGCTATGTGCAATGGCAGCCGCAGGTGCGTCCCTTGCAGAACTCCATGCAGAACGATGCGAAGCGCAGCATCAGCTACGATAGCCAAATGCATTTGCAGAATGCGAATGGACGGATGCAGAGCAAGCCGATGCCGCTGCCGCCACCGCCGCCTCCGCGAGATCCCTTGCGGCGCGTCCATGCCGGCTACAGTTCCAGCGATTTGCGTCCCGTCTCGTACGCCTTCGATCAGGGCGGGCGCTGTGTGTCCGACGATCGGATGTGGCAGCCACCGCATTACCAATCTGTGCACTCGCTCAATTCCCAGCCAGGCGGCTCCATAGCCAGTGCCCCGGTCACCGAGCAGCCCGAGCAAGCGCATCAACATCATCGTCGGTTCATTACCCGCTCGGAGCGGAACGCCCTGCCGGGCAAGAAGTCGCTGCCCAATGGCATCGACTTCCGCTATGTGGCCGATGCGACGCCGCGCTCAAGGAAGCCCATTCATATGCTGGACCCCAGTGCCGGACTGCGTGAGCCAAAGCCCGGCCTGCCGGCTTCCAGCGGCGTTTTGCGCACCTCAAAGAGCGGATTGCCCAGCTCCAGCGAGGGTGGGCAGTCCCTGGCTAAGCCGCGCTCCATTTCCAGTTCGCGAATCAGCGAGCTGCGTAGCTATCCCATGCCCATGTACTCTGAAGTGCAGAAGCCCAAGCGAGCAGCGCCTGCTCCCGCTCCCGTTCCCACTCCGGAGACGGACAACGTCATCTGCGGCAGTTTGCACATCAAGCCTGGCGAGCATGGCAGCCAGAACTATGTGGAGATACGTCATCGAGATGTGTATAAGACCAACTCCATGCCGCATCATTACCAGCGTCGATCCGGCGAGGATTTGCCCAACAAGTACGAGGAGTATGTGGCCGAGAAACGGGAACAGCATCAACAGGCGCCGGCGCCCATCTTTGCCGAACGCAAGGGCAGCGCCCCAGCCATAACGCCCATCTATTTTCCACGCAAGAAGCCTGCCAATCTGGAGGAGGCCATTAGCGAGCTAGAGGCCATTTACAAGTCGCTCGGGCTCACCGAACCGCCGGAGCCCAAGTCGGAGCCCAAGTCGGAGTCCAAGTCGGAGCCCAAGTCGGAACCCAAACCGCGTCTGCCCACGCCGAGTGACTTTGAGAAATTCGCCCTGGCCCATGCCGATGACTACGAGGACGAGGACTCGCCAGCGGGTGAGCCGGATCCGGTGCGCGACGATGTCGCCTATCGCAACCTGCAGCTGGCCAATTTGCAGTATCGCGCCGCGGACAGGCAGCCGCCCTTCGGGATACCCGTCGGCCCGATTGTGCCGGCGCCGCAGAGCGACTATCTCCATGTGGAGCCTGTGCAGAAGAAGAAGCAAAGCGGTTCGCCGGACATTGTCAAAGATGATTTGGCCGTGCGTGCGCTGCGCAAAGATCCGCCCGGTCCCAAGTCCAGCTACAACTATCCGATGCAGAAAAAACAGCGTGCGACGCGCACCCAATCCGCCAACATATACAATCTGATCCAGCGGGCCGCAGCGAAGCCGTCTGGCGGGGATCTCAGCAGCTATATCGAGCTGACGCGCAGCATCGAACGCGCCGGCTCCATGTCCAATCTGGGCGTGACGGAGGCGAGCGATACCAGCGATATACCGGGCACCTTGGATCTCCTGCGAAAGCTCAAGGCCCAGGACGAGGAGCTCAACAGAAAGCCGCACATACCGTTCAGGCATCCGAATCAGGGTGGCGCTATAGCCCAGCTGCCGGAGCGTCTGGGACACGATGAAACGGCAAAGTTGCCTCCGGTGCCGGCGCCACGCAAGAGCCTAACGCCCGAACCTCTTCTGGAGGATGCGCTGAACAAGATTGCGCAGGATGCGCAGGCGAGCAGCATCAAACTAACCCAGGAGCTGGACGAGCTGCGCAAGGAAGCGCTCATCACGGCTGCCAGGCCCAAACTGAATCCGGAGCAGCAAAAGCTGGAACAGGAGCTGCAGCAGATCGAGGCAGTCTCCGAGGCGGCCAAGCGCTGTGGCCAGCTGCTCCTCGACACTCTGCCCGACCATGATCAGCCGGACAGCGAGCAGCCGCAGCAGCGAAAACTGCACAAGGAGGGGAAATTGATACGCGCCATCGACGAGGTGTCCGAGGCGGCAAACGCGGTTTGCGAGAAGATCCTCAAGGATATTGTGACCACCGAACCGCCCGTGGTTGTGCACGAGGCGCTGCAGGTAAAGCAGGAGCAGCAGCTGGTGATGCCACATCTCATCAGGAAACTGGATCCCATACAGTCGGACAAGATCGAGGCGATTGCCAAGCGCTGCATGCGACAGCTTAGCGAATTGGCCGAGCCCGAGCAGGAGCCGGAGCCCGGGCCGGACTACGACAATCTGGCCGCGTGTAATATGAGCACAGCTGGAACTGGAGCTGGAGTCCACGCTGATGCCACTCTCATTTGTCCCATTGCAGAGGCCCGGACACGGGCGCAGGCCAAGTCCCAAACGCTCGACGATATCGATCGCATTATGCAGGAGTGCGAGCGTCAGGCGCGCGAAACGGGTCCCGGGAGCAGCTGCAGCAGGACAACGACAACAGCAACCACTGCGTCCAGCACGGATGATCAGCGCACCACGGCGCCCAGCATGAGCAGCGGCAGTGGCAGCGGGAGTAGGAGTGGGTGTGGCAGTCACCAGGCAACCACTGTAAGCACCACCGCATCCTCGTTCAGCTCCAGCAGCGATTGCCTGGCCAAGTCATCGAGTCCGTCGAATGCCAGTCGGCCCATGTCCTCGAGCATAACCTCATTTAATCCGTACTCCTCGAGCGACTACATCAAGTCGCAGAGCAGCGATTATCATGCACCCAGCACTGATCCCATCAAGACATTCAGCACCACGTCCTATGATGCGGAGACGACGCCCAACAACACCACAATCAGCACCACCAGCACACAGAGCACTACACAGAGCAGCACCACAACCACCGAGAATCAAACCGCCAGCGCAGCGTCGCCGTCGCCGACCTCGTCGTCATCCGCCTCATCCCCGCCGTTGCAATTGACGCCTGTTGGCGAACGCAGAGCACGCTCCTCGTCGCCCTCGCAGTACAATTCGAGCGAGGAGCTGGCCGCTATCTTTGGCATCGAGGAGAAGCCAGCGAAACAGCTGCGTCGCAAGCAGCCGCCGGTTAACCCAACAGGTAAAGGCGTTGCCCCCGCCCAAGCACAAGTGCAAGCACAAATCCAAGCCAATGCGACGAGCTCCTCAGATGCCGCTACTAATCCCCGCTGTGCGCTGCAAGCTACCGCTACTAATCCAGTTTTGAATGTTGACCCTAAACTTGACCCCGAATTCGATGTTAATATTACTAGCAGCAGCAGCTGCCGCCCATCAGCATCCACATCCACTAATGACAGTGCTAGTATATCTTGTAGTCATAGTTATAAGTTAGCCACCATACCAGAACTGGAGCTGGAGCCGGAGCACGAGCAGACGAGCGCTGGGACCTGCCTGAAGCTTTCGCCCAATTTCAATCGCATCTATGCCAGCAAAATCGATATTGTAATGAATAGGCCCGAGGTGGCGCCAACCCTAACCCAGTTCGATTCGTTAAGTTCGGAGTTGGAGGAAACATCGTCAAATCCGGACTCGGGTAACGCCAGCCTAGCTGACTTTCCACTCGCAGCCCATGCAAATACCTCCATTGAGCTGCAAACCAGCTACAATAGTCGCTTTGAGGTTAAGGAGCACTACGTGTCCGAGGTTTCGATAAGTACAAACGATGACACCGATTCCGTGTGCGAAAGGGCTAAGCAGGATGCTGAAGATTTTCCACGTTTGCCCACAGAGGAGGAGCTGCTTGAGAGCTTGCGTGAAGAGGCGGCACTTAACGAAACCGAATTTAATTCTCAGAAAAAACCCGATGAAACGCCCGCGTTAAACCAAGCAGTTTATGACCTAACGAACGAATCTCTCATAAAAGAACTTAACGACAGTAGTTTCGAAGAAAACGAAACTGACGAAAATAATTTAGTGTCAATTGCTCAGGACGAGCTGCAAGAGCAGCTCGAGAGCTTGCGTCAGGAGGCGGCACTTAACGAAACCGAGATTGCAAGTGAACTTGATTCCGAGCAAAAACTTGACGAAACGCTTGTGTTAAGCAAGGCAGTTTATGACCTAACTAGTGAACCGTTCTTGAAAGAAATTAACGACAGTAGTTTCGATGAAAACGAAGCTGACGAAATTGATTTAGTTGGAATTGCTCTGGACGAAGCTTTTCTCGAAGAAATCGGAATTGACGAAAGCGCATTAAATGAACCTGCTGCATGTGAACTAGTTCAGCGCAAAAAGAGCATCGTTTACGAGACTCCACACATAAACCTGAGCATTTCCGAGGTGCGACTCAATTACGATACCAAAGCAGAGCAAGGGGAGAGCGAAACAAGCAGCGAAGTTAGGAAGAAAGATGGAGAGGGAGAGAAAGAGGGCGCTGGTATGCCAATTAAGGATACTTTAACACGTAATGAGCGCCACAGCAGCGGCAGCGACGGCGACAGCGACGGCGACGGGGACAGGGACGGCGAAGCCAATGAAATTGAGACGCGCCGTCGCCAAGGATTTCCGGCGTTGACAGAGGAACGGCCAACGACCAGCTCGAAAGCGCTCTCCGTGTTCGGCGAAGTGCGACCAGCTACGGCAGCTGGGGCGGGGGCGGGGGCGGAGCTGCGCGGCGCGACGCAAGGCGGTTTGACGACACTCGAGCACGTACTTGTTGCCTGCACCGTGGGCCTGATTACGCCCAATGATTTGCTCACATTGTGCCTGATCGTAATTGGTGTGATTATCATTGTGGCAATAGCGCTCGCCTGAACACACACTCACACACACACACTCACACACATTTGTTGTTATTGCACAACTTGATGTGTTTGTAGTTGTTCTTCTTCTTGTTATTGTTGTAATTACGGGGCAAACTTGTTCAACAGAAAACTTAAATTATTTATTCATATTTTTCTGCCGCGGCAAATGAAACCTTTTATTAATGTATATCGATGCGTTACATTTATTTTTTTTTATATAGCCCAAAAGTATTCTTATTTATATATATTCTAAATTAGTTGTATATTTATGGCTTAAGAACCACTGTGCAAATGCATTTCATCCACATCCGAAAACAAACTTAATTAACTAATTTTCGTTTAATTAACCTAATGAATATTTTTTGTATTTTTAATTTGACTGCAACTTGTGCCAATGATTTTTTAAACGTCTGCTTTATTATGTTCTATTTAATAATTAATATACAAATATTTTTTATACTAAGCACACGATAAAAAAAAGAAACAAAAAACAAACTCTATATTCTCATATAAGGACTAATCATGAAATATTTCCAAAATCTCTTTGTATATTTTCAGCTCAAAATTTAATAGCCTAAGTTTTCGTATAATTACAATGCAAATAACGATTTTCCTTACGTTTATATAAGTAGAAGTTGATTTGCTTTAATTTTTCTACACATGTTAAATTTACAAAAACAATAAACGGACGACGCCAACACATAAATATTAATAATAAAATGTTATTTACAAAATGGAAAACGTCAACAATTATTGTCCATGTTTTGTTTTATTGTTTTGTCTGTTTTATTTAATTTTGGTTTTGTAGATTTTTATTTCTTTATTTTGCATTTTATTTAATTTAATTTGCATTAATTAGAGACCTGTAATAATAATCCGCTCCTCTTTCCAGCTTATTGCCAACATTATTTAACTAATAAAATAAAGTAAACACTTCGTTCGTGTCTTTTTAACGTAATTTTTGCTAAAATGCCGCTGCCGAAAGCCAAAACTTAATTATTGTAATTAAAATTAACTAACTAATTATTTAAGTTTATAATATTTTAAATATTTCTGCTTAATCAGATACTATTGTTAAATATTTACAAAAAAGTAAATCTCACTTGTGGGGTTTGAGTCTTGACTTAAGCTCTTTGCTTTCGAATTCGAAAGCTTTTTAAATAGGTTTCGAAATTGACTGTGTGTTGGTTGGAAACCCAGCTAAGCCGAAATAGAATTCTTTTGTTGGATAGTGTTTGTTTTTAAAAGCTAGTTTCTAATTATTTTAGATTTACGTTATTTTTCCAGTTGAATTTTTGAAATTATTTAGTTAAAATAAGTCGGAAATTTGAATTTTCTTTATTTTCTTGTGAATTAAATGTTGGGTTAGGCTTCTTACCTAAAATTTTCCGCAAATTTTCCCAGACGAAAATCGCATAGAAATGAGCACGAAATGCCGTCCGCAACAAAAGTAACAAAAAATCGAAAGTCTTGCCACGTTGTGGGGCGCCCCTGCTGCAATTGTTGTTGTCGTTTGTTGACTTGACATAAAAAGGACATTCAACTGCAGGTCGGGCCGTGTGACCTTTTTGGTCTACTACGAATTTCGATAGGTAATGAAACCTTCACTTTATGGAAAAGTTCTATATCATAAACATAATGCTCTCATTCCACGTTGTATTCCAATTGGCTCGAGTCCAATTGGAACCCAATATAATGGGCATGCAATATTTTGGCCTTTTAATCTGTGACCCAAGCGACAGTTCATTCACCTGCCGTGAACCCAGCTGGCAAAGCTAAATAGCAATAAAAATGTCACAAATCTAATTTGTTTAAGTCCCTCTGCCACATATGCCACCCCTAAGCATGCCTAGCTGGGACTCTCGACACGACTGCAATTCGCTTGCTGTCATATATAAGGCTCCTAGGCAGCCTACAACAACCGGAAAAGACACGCAAGGCCTGATTTTAGCTCAGCAGAGGGTATTATCATTTTATTACTAAGTTATTTTCCCCTAATATAATATAGGTTATCATAGGAAGTCATCTATTCGTTTATCAATTGATCGCAACAAAGATCTTTGCGGAAAAGTTATGCTTAATATTTTATATATATATATATATATATATATATATTTCTCGTTATATTCTTGGCCCGATCTTATCCCAGTTAGAGCCAAAAAGGCGTTGAATGTCATTTGAGGCCTAGTTACAGGGTAGATTCCAGTGTCAGATTTTCTCAGAATAGTATTATATAAAAATATTACTCGTTATATATAAATTATCAAAGATCATATCCCAGTTAGAGCTTTGAATACTATCTTAGAGCTAGTTACAGGGTATATTCCCGTGTTATATTTTCTCAGAACTAGTTGAATTGCTTCTCGCCTAAGTTTTATTTGTAGCATTGCCACACATTGTGGGCGTGTCCAAGTGGGCGTTTTGTAGCTGTTGCACAACTCGTATCTAATTATGCGCGTCGAAATATCCTTTCGGTGATATTAATTATCACAGCCAAAAGCAGACACAATGTGCCTTCGCCCAGATTTCACAACAAATTACTCATACGCACACACACACACATTCACTCACCCGCACATTGTTACACATACCAACATAAACGGTATCAAATGCTGCCTACAGTCGTGCGGTCAAGTGTGGACCGCTCTTTGGCTCTGGCTACTGTTGCGCCGCTCGTTTGCGGTTGTACTAGAGAACTGACCCCCTCTCTCCCCTCCACCAACCTTCTCGTGAATTGTTTGCATGCCACGCAAACATATTTGTAGCTGTTCAATGTGCTGTGGTCGCCGTTGCAAGCGAAATGCGTGTAAATTGTTTTTTTTTGTGTGTGTGCGAGGGTGAGTGGGGGGGGGGGGGGGGGGGCTCGTACTGCGCAGGTACAAACAAAATGCCACTGGCCCCAATTCTAAGGGTTGCAGACGTTTTGTTGTTGTAGTGGTTCGCTTTTTCGCTTGGTTTAGTGGTCGCGGCGAATTCGCAAGGAGCGGAGAGCGCCAGAGCGAATGCAAAGGGCGAAAAAGAACAGGAGAGAATGGCAAGTGAGTTTTGGACAGCATTGCCAGATGCACAAATTAATACTGTTAAAGGAATAGTCAAAATGTATTTATTATTTAAAAAAAAAAGTTGCCTGACCAATCCGAGCTTATATTTATGCCAAGTAGGGATAAGTGCATTTGGAATTAAATTCTGCCACAATTTTAATTTATTTTTCTCAGTGCACAACTCTCACGAGTTTCAGAGAGCAGCAGTTAGAGCGAGTTGCCAATTCGCCGCTGGTTTTAAGTTGAAAAATAGAAAAACCGGCTACAATATCAGCTGTTTCCCGTGCTCCAGCCCCAGC